TGTGTGGAAGCACCTTCCATGAACCTGTCTACATGATCTGAATGTCACAAACAGTTCAACACTCATGTGTGGAAGCACCTTCCATGAACCTGTCTACATGATCTGAATGTCACATACAGTTCAACACTCATGTGTGGAAGCACCTTCCATGAACCTGTCTACATGATCTGAATGTCACATACAGTTCAACACTCGTGTGTTGAAGCACCTTCCATGAACCTGTCTACATGATCTGAATGTCACATACAGTTCAACACTCGTGTGTTGAAGCACCTTCCATGAACCTGTCTACATGATCTGAATGTCACATACAGTTCAACACTCGTGTGTTGAAGCACCTTCCATGAACCTGTCTACATGATCTGAATGTCAAATACAGTTCAACACTCATGGGTTGAAGCACCTTCCATGAACCTGTCTACATGATCTGAATGTCACATACAGTTCAACACTCATGTGTGGAAGCACCTTCCATGAACCTGTCTACATGATCTGAATGTCACATACAGTTCAACACTCGTGTGTTGAAGCACCTTCCATGAACCTGTCTACATGATCTGAATGTCACATACAGTTCAACACTCATGTGTGGAAGCACCTTCCATGAACCTGTCTACATGATCTGAATGTCACATACAGTTCAACACTCGTGTGTGGAAGCACCTTCCATGAACCTGTCTACATGATCTGAATGTCACTTTAGTTCCACACACGTCTGTTGAAGCACCTTCCACAACCCAGTTTATATGATCTGAATGTCACATATTGTTCAACACATGGGTTTGAGGCACATTCCACAACCCAACATACATTGTCTATATGTCAATAAACATCATTTTATAAATGAAATAGAGACCAGTAAACAATTAAAACATTGCTTATACATAGGACTGCACATTAATACCGGTATACCACAATGACTTTACAAATCATACAGACTGCAATACTTATTTCTGAGTACAAGTATTCTGGGTAAATAAAGAAAATCTGAAAGTAGAATCCCTATTTGTCCACCCGAAGTTTACTTCATCAGAACCATAACATATATTTTTAGGGCCTTAGTATGTAGAAAATAGGATCAGTGTCACTCACTGTTCAACAATTTAGCTCCCAATATATCTCACTAAGGGTACCTGAATTGCAATATATTGCAATACAATGTATTTGCCAATACACAGCCCTACTTACTTATAAATGCACCACTCCAGGCAAAACAGATTAGATTCAGGGACTGTTGATTAATAGAAACATAATTCATGTTTATTATGTATGTACAATACATGTTATGTAAACTTAAGTTTCAGCTAGAGCTGTGCAAACAAAAGGAATGCACTTTCTCAATTTCAGTGTTTTATCCAAATTGTACAGTGACAAACAGACTCATAATGGGTTTGGGTTCTGTCCTATGGTCAAAATGCACATAACGAACTAAAATCAGTGGACCCTTAGTGTTTGATATAACCACAGTTTACTTTGTTTAGGGTATTATATTTATCACTACCAATCAAATTTGTTATCTTTGACAGCAAAATCACAGACTTGTGTAATCATTTTCAAGTTGATTGTGTCACTCAGTGAAGGGCTGTTGTATAAAGCCATCTTCCGCTTATATTCATGGGTGTAAAACTATATAAATATTCACACATCTATTTGTAGTGTTAGTGTTGTTAAAGTGTTAATTCTCAGAATGAGCCAGCATAAACAAAATCCTTAGTGGGAGATTTCCACAGTAAAATCTTCATATGATGACCCAAGTCTGCATACCTTTGGGTCCTACATTTGATTGGTTGTAAAGCAGATCCATCCCTAAGAATATATTTCTTTTTATCTAATAATCTTCCACAACATGGTCTATATGGTCACACATGACACAACCAAACATAAGATATTGTGTTAGTACTCATTATATGATTCAAAGGTTAGAATTTACAGAAACCTTTCTTAAATACCCGGATAACATACTGTAACGCCAAACAGAGGAGGGTATGCTATTCGATGCTCAGAGTCACTAAAATATGTACCCTTGTGCATGCGAAAGTACAAATGTAGAATTTACATAGTCTGATTGATAACCTGGTAGCGCGAGTTTGTTTACAAACATGTCTAAATTCCGCTCCCTAATTTGTATTACACTAACGAGTTCGCTTGTTACTCCAAGAAAATATATTGCTGAATAGTGATATATGTAGGGAATATGTGTTAAGATAATAAACTTGTGATATGTAAACTATTGTGTTTAGTGTAATTCGCTTGAAATTAAGACTTCTGTGCTTCGCGTCTAGCTCATAGAAAACGTCAGCCATATTGACATTACAATGTACTTGTTCCTGATTCGTCAGTTCCTCGGGAGGACCGCCCTTTAACCTCTGACCCGACATTCCTTGCATATATAATTAGCTAGCTGACGTTTACTAATGGGCTAGACTTGGTATTGGTTTCTGAACCCGCGAAACTTATACTTTCCATAACTCGAAACTTTTGGAACAACTAGAAACTTTATGTAAATACGTACAAGATGCATTTCAACAACAATAATAATTTATTAATACAGTAACATATCTACATAAATACACTTAAAAATACCATTTTCTGATGCAGTGAAAGATCTTGGTGTCTTTCTTGACTCTAATATGACAATGGACAACCATATACAGCACACCTGTAGAATCTGCTTCTACCACCTGAGAAGTATTGGCCAGATTAGACATTTGTTGACTCAGGAAGCCACTAGCCAGTTAGTCAGGTCTCTGATTCTGTCCAGGATTGACTATGGCAACAGTTTGCTTATCAACATAAGGCAAGATCTACTCATGAAGCTTCAGAGAGTACAAAATGCCTCAGCTCGGCTAATTCATCGCTGCAAGAAAACATCCAATGTAACATCAATATTGATGAATCTCCACTGGCTGCCAGTACAAGCTACAATCGAGTTCAAAGTGTTATCCCTGACCTACAGCTGTTACCATGATGTTGCACCAGGATATCTGAAAGAACTTCTCCAGAAATATACTTCATGCAAAAACCTGAGATCCAATGATCAACGTTTATTTACTATCCCCAGGACCAATCTCAAATCCTTCGGCCAGAGATCATTCTCATTCTGTGCTCCTTCTCTCTGGAACTGTCTTCCTTTTGTTATCAAAACCTCCCCATCTTTAGCTGTCTTCAAGTCCAAACTTAAAACCCATCTCTTCTCCAAGTTCTATCCTTGATACCTGCGCTTTGAGCAACCGCAACGGATGGAAAATAGCACAATATAAATGCACTTATTATTATTATTAAAAAGACACCTAGAAAAATACTCTAAATCGGTGCATCCCGATCGTGACGACCTATAGTACCAACTGACTGCTAACTCTAATTAGAAATTCCCCAAAATTCATTATTACTAATTCTTATAAGTCCTGGTTAACATTTACAAATTACTTATAACATATAATATAGTCCTGGTGAATGTTCTGCCATCCTCACCTCTTTACTTTGTTTCGATTCCTGCGTATAGATGTATAGCTGCTTAAAGCTTCCAAGAAATGCAGGCAGATTTACGGTAGCGTCTCCCTTTTATTCTTAATTACAATGACGTCACAATTGAAATGCACCCGCTGCAGTGACCACGTGACCATGCGAGAGATTCGTAAACAAAGATGGCGGCACCCATAAAACAACCTGTCATCCCTACGCTGTTTGACGATTCTAACAACTATAGGGCTTACGCACATATTGTATTCTGACAGTAAGGTAATAAATGTATTCTCTATATACTTGAGAAATAGTTTAAAGATGTACAATTGCTTCCTAATGTCATAATCTAACCTAGGACTCTACTGGAAGTATGATGGACATTCGATTCGACAGTTACGTGCAGAATGACGTAATGACCAGTACGTTTTCGAATAAGCTAATGATACCCTATTGAGCTTCAATACTACCAACAGAAGACGAGGTACAAAAGGTACAAGACAAACCATGATGTTTCACATGACAAAGATTGGCTGGTCACGCTAAAGATTTAAATTTTCATTTACCCAAGATACCTTCAACCATTAGTAATCAAATGTGTTAACGAGGTTAAACATTTTAAAACAGAAGTTGTACCAGTGAATCAAACTTTGTGAAAATACATCACATGAGTAAATGTCGTGCAGTGACAAGTATATAGTGGGGTGCTGCATTGTGAGAGGCATTTACCCCCTGTTCAGCCGTTATCACCCTTCATTAACACGTGAGATCTACTGGGCATACTGGAAGAGACAAGGAGTGAAGTGATTCAGGAAGGATCTCCCCAATAGCTCACTGTCAACAGCTCACTGGAACCCAGCGGACAGATAAGGAACATCACAAATGATGATGATAACTCATATGCTGGAGTTAGTCAGTCATTGACATCAATGAATCTGATAGCTAGTGTAGGAAGCAAATGTGAAGCTCGTGGAGGTACCACCAACTACACAGGGGACGGGACTGCCCCCGACGAGCAAGTAATCCCCGACCGGGCGTCTTCCTGGGCCCTGCGCAAGGGGGAGGGCTGATGAGGGCTTCCCACGTCGATACCGGCATGGTATGTCGGCGAAGGGGTGCACACATTACCACGCTCATTTCACAGTTATCACTTTGGCTCAGATGGGATCATCTTTGGTTGTTTAACAGTGTGCTAAATGTTCATATATAATATCTATAGACATTGATCGTGTAACGTGATACTGTATAAATAAATATAAACGATCGATATAAGAGAAGAGAGATCGCGTTCTGGCCCGGTGTAACAACGGTGTACGACTTACATTAAATGTGATGGTACCATGAGGTAAAAGTTTGATGATTGTGAAAGACACGACGCACCTGTCAAAATGACTTGAAAGGGGGTATGGCAGGTAAATGATGGCGGCCTACTTCGATTAGGAAGCAGGCTAGACAAGACCGATCGCCTGTTGCGTTGCCGACCGACATTCGTATTATCTGACATTGTTACCAAGCTAAATGAGGTAATCGAGTGAATTTACCTGTGTGGACTATGCGAAGATTCTCTTTTCCTCAATATAACATGTCCACCACCTGTCTAAAGTCGACTGTCACTGTAAAGTCCTGCGTTGTCACATTGAGGTCACACCCATGTAAACCAGTCTCATTCACACAGTAAGAGCACAAGCACCAGTGACGTCATCAAACCCGGTGGCCTCTCGCACCTGAGCTTTACTGTATCACTGGGCAAAGTCAGTTCACATGCATTGGTACTTTTCTTTCACAGACATATCGTTTACTGTACGAATAACTCTAAAGGTGCGAATGTAGCTCTGTGTTTTATTGTAAGCGCGTGTTCTCGTGTCCCCACATAACCGGGCTCGGGCCCCAATGTTGATGACGTTTATCCCGCAGACAAGACGATAGCGGTCTGACAACTACTCATGTCTTGGATGACCGGCAAGTTTCCGCAATGCAGATAGCAGAAAGCAGACAACGAACTGGCGATTTTTTTTTCAGTTGCGGCTTTGTGACTTTGAAATAAGTTTATCTAAATGTACAGTAAAACAGTCATATGTAAGGAATAACATTTCACCCATCACTGGAATCGATGCCAAATATTACAGAAACATGATCACGATCAATGCGTTATTAAAACTGACAGCTGACTGCAGAAAGGCCGACATATAAGTTGAACATTAGTTACGACGCCTTGTGTAACAGATCTTATCATACAAAAGTCAACTTAAATGGGTGTGATATCGTTCCCTCCACCCCTTGATCTCAGGTCAACATAACAGGTTTCTACGAACACACACCTGTGTATGAAGTGTATACGATACTATCAATAAGTGTAACAAACAGATGAAAGCGTCATTTGTCCAGTACACACGTGTAATCTATATTCAATGTGGTTGTCATTCTTACTTTTCACCGAGTTTCAAGTCGAGGCTGGGCATCTGTGACCATGCTGAGTTTAAAACACGAGCATTTAAAGACGTGGATACATATAATTGTGACGTGGGCACATTGTCATCGCTGGGTGTTGTAAATCTACTTATTGGAAGAAAGACACGTTCTGAATTGAACGGTGACATCTATATTAAAACCCTAACTATATTTAACGACTGGCGAGGTCATGCCTAAATAGCTTTTGTTTGTTTTTAATTGTGTTAAATGTTGAATAACCAGACCACTCGAAGTAAAATGTAAATACTCCGACTATTTAGAATGACTAAGCAAACCTCTCCCTAGTTCTCCCTAGTTCGGCTAAACCGTTTTACCGCACAGACCGATCACTGCATAGCTGCGCACTGGCACATGCGTGATCGAGCTTGTCCGTCCATCCACCTGTCAATGTTCCATGACTGGTCCAAAACATCCTTTAATTACATGAACTATTTCTCAAGAGTTTAGGAGAGAATGTCATCCATATAATGGAGCAGCAAATATATGTCCGCATGTAAGCAATGTCCTATATATGTTAACGTACTCAGCTCGATGCACATGGATAATTGAAGCTGAGTTCACACTGCAATAACGTGCAGACAAATGCCCAAGTCGTCGAGATCGGTAGCTCGATAGTTAAACTGTTCAACTATACGTTCATCATGCACAGTGTGGTACATCATAGGGGTTAATCACTGGAGTTGGCTATGTCAGCAATAACTGATTCTGACTATATTACCTTCCACTGACGGATGTTCAGTGTATTATATACCCACCACTGACGGATGTTCAGTGTATTACCCTCCACTGACGGATGTTCAGTGTATAACCCTCCACTGCCGGATGTTCAGTGTATTATATACCCACCACTGACGGATGTTCAGTGTATTACCCTCCACTGACGGATGTTCAGTGTATTACCCTCCACTGATGGATGTTCAACGTATTACCCTCCACTGATGGATGTTCAGTGTATTACCCTCCACTGACGGATGTTCAGTGTATAACCCTCCACTGACGGATGTTCAGTGTATTATATACCCACCACTGACGAATGTTCAACGTATAACCCTCCACTGACGGATGTTCAACGTATTACCCTCCACTAACGGATGTTCAGTGTATTACCCTCCACTGACGAATGTTCAACGTATAACCCTCCACTGACGGATGTTCAACGTATAACCCTCCACTGACGGATGTTCAACGTATTACCCTCCACTGACGGATGTTCAGTGTATTACCCTCCACTGACGAATGTTCAACGTATGACCCTCCACTGACGAATGTTCAACGTATAACCCTCCACTGACGGATGTTCAACGTATTACCCTCCACTGATGGATGTTCAGTGTATAACCCTCCACTGACGGATTTTCAATGTATTACCCTCCACTGATGGATGTTCAGTGTATTACCCTCCACTGATGGATGTTCAGTGTATAACCCTCCACTGACGGATTTTCAACGTATTACCCTCCACTGACGGATGTTCAGTGTATTACCCTCCACTGATGGATGTTCAACGTATTACCCTCCACTGACGAATGTTCAGTGTATTACCCTCCACTGACGGATGTTCAGTGTATTACCCTCCACTGACGAATGTTCAGTGTATAACCCTCCACTGACGGATGTTCAGTGTATTATATACCCACCACTGACGGATGTTCAGTGTATAACCCTCCACTGACGGATGTTCAGTGTATTATATACCCACCACTGATGGATGTTCAGTGTATAACCCTCCACTGACGGATGTTCAGTGTATTATATACCCTCCACTGATGGATGTTCAGTGTATTACCCTCCACTGACGGATGTTCAGTGTATAACCCTCCACTGATGGATGTTCAACGTATTACCCTCCACTGACGGATGTTCAACGTATTACCCTCCACTGACGGATGTTCAACGTCTTACCCTCCACTGATGGATGTTCAACGTATTACCCTCCACTGACGGATGTTCAACGTCTTACCCTCCACTGACGGATGTTCAACGTCTTACCCTCCACTGACGGATGTTCAACGTATTACCCTCCACTGATGGATGTTCAACGTATTACCCTCTACTGACGGATGTTCAGTGTATTACCCTCTACTGACGGATGTTCAGTGTATTACCCTCCACTGACGGATGTTCAGTGTATTACCCTCCACTGACGGATGTTCAACGTATTACCCTCCACTCATCGATGTTCAATGTATTACCTTCCACTGACGGATGTTCAGTGTATTACCCTCCACTGACGGATGTTCAACGTATTACCCTCCACTCATCGATGTTCAATGTATTACCTTCCACTGACGGATGTTCAGTGTATTACCCTCCACTGATGGATGTTCAGTGTATTACCTTCCACTGACGGATGTTCAGTGTATTACCTTCCACTGACGGATGTTCAGTGTATTACCTTCCACTAATGGATGTTCAGTGTATTACCTTCCACTGACGGATGTTCAGTGTATTACCTTCCACTGACGGATGTTCAGTGTATTACCTTCCACTAATGGATGTTCAGTGTATTACCCTCCACTGATGGATGTTCAGTGTATTACCCTCCACTGATGGATGTTCAACGTATTACCCTCTACTGGCGGATGTTCAGTGTATTACCCTCCACTGACGGATGTTCAGTGTATTACCCTCCACTGACGGATGTTCAGTGTATTACCCTCTACTGGCGGATGTTCAATGTATTACCCTGTACTGGCACATGTTCAATGTATTACCCTCCACTGACGGATGTTCAGTGTATTACCTTCCACTGACGGATGTTCAACGTATTACCCTCTACTGACGGATTTTCAGTGTATTACCTTCCACTGACGGATGTTCAACGTCTTACCCTCCACTGATGGATGTTCAACGTATTACCCTCCACTGATGGATGTTCAACGTATTACCTTCCACTGACGGATGTTCAACGTATTACCCTCCACTGACGGATGTTCAACGTATCACCCTCCACTGATGGATGTTCAACGTATTACCCTCCACTGACGGATGTTCAACGTATTACCCTCCACTGACGGATGTTCAACGTATTATCTTCCACTGACGGATGTTCAACGTCTTACCCTCCACTGATGGATGTTCAGTGTATTACCCTCCACTGACGGATGTTCAACGTATTACCCTCCACTGATGGATGTTCAACGTATTACCTTCCACTGACGGATGTTCAACGTATTACCCTCCACTGACGGATGTTCAACGTATCACCCTACACTGACGGATGTTCAACGTATTACCCTCCACTGACGGATGTTCAACGTATTACCCTCCACTGACGGATGTTCAACGTATTACCTTCCACTGACGGATGTTCAACGTCTTACCCTCCACTGATGGATGTTCAGTGTATTACCCTCCACTGACGGATGTTCAACGTATTACCCTCCACTGATGGATGTTCAACGTATTACCTTCCACTGACGGATGTTCAACGTCTTACCCTCCACTGACGGATGTTCAGTGTATTACCCTCCACTGATGGATGTTCAGTGTATTACCCTCCACTGATGGATGTTCAACGTATTACCCTCCACTGACGGATGTTCAACGTATTACCCTCCACTGACGGATGTTCAGTGTATTACCCTCCACTGATGGATGTTCAGTGTATTACCCTCCACTGATGGATGTTCAACGTATTACCCTCCACTGACGGATGTTCAACGTATTACCCTCCACTGATGGATGTTCAGTCTATTACCCTCCACTGATGGATGTTCAACGTATTACCCTCCACTGACGGATGTTCAACGTATTACCCTCCACTGACGGATGTTCAACGTCTTACCCTCCACTGATGGATGTTCAGTGTATTACCCTCCACTGATGGATGTTCAACGTATTACCTTCCACTGACGGATGTTCAACGTATTACCCTCCACTGACGGATGTTCAACGTATTACCCTCCACTGACGGATGTTCAGTGTATTAACCTCCACTGATGGATGTTCAGTGTATTACCCTCCACTGACGAATGTTCAATGTATTACCCTCCACTGATGGATGTTCAACGTATTACCCTCCACTGACGGATGTTCAATGTATTACCCTCCACTGATGGATGTTCAACGTATTACCCTCCACTGACGGATGTTCAGTGTATTACCCTCTACTGATGGATGTTCAGTGTATTACCCTCCACTGACGGATGTTCAGTGTATTACCCTCTACTGACGGATGTTCAGTGTATTACCCTCTACTGACGGATGTTCAATGTATTACC